GGTAAAGGCTGAATCGAATACACATCGAATTACGAGGACAACAACTACAGTGGTTATGGCCTCTGGAGGTATATAAAACTGATTTCTTTTATTTAATTAAGTTGGTCAATCGAAGGTGATTACAAGAGTTGAATATATTGGTTCAGATCTGTATGTTTTAAATTACAGATTAATTCAGTCCATTATGTTTTATTCATTGGAAAAAGATCTATTCACAATAAATAAAAATTTATGGACAATAATATATTTAATTTAATAAAGTAAAATAATAAATAAATAAATAATCACAACCATTGGGCAATAGAGTGAAAGATGGAGAGGTGACTTTTGTCATTGCATTTTGTTTTCTATAGTGGAATAATTATAAATAGTTAAATTAGTTAACTTAATTTAATAAATAAATAAATTTATAAAATAAATGAGATAAATAGAGTATCCTAGGGGAGGGAAGCACGACACGACCCAACATGGCCCGATTTGTAAATAAAATGAGAGATAAAGAAAATTTTTAACAAATATGAAAAAGGTAGAAGTTTAGTGGCATCACTGTAAATAGTTAGTAATGGCATCATTATAAATAATTGCACGTCTAGTATCAAATACGAAAGAATAAAATGAGACATGGCAATTTATGATTGTTATTTTTGTTTTATAATGGCAATCATTGTAATTAATTAAATTTGTAATGGTAATGGTTAAAAACATGAAAACATGAAAAGGAAAATATTATAAGATTTCATTTAGGTTATATAAAAAGATCGATCTTATATATATATATGTATGTATATGTGTGTGTGTGTGTATGTAGATTGGACATATATTACAAATATATATTAGTAATTATGTATTGTTGTTTTATGGATCCATTATTATTTGTATCAATAAAATATAAGAATTTTTTCATTCATGATTAGCTGTATAAATTATTTCACAAGTTGTGTATGAGATGCATGGAATCATAGGTCATATTTGCAAAACAACCCTTGGGTGTAGACAATTTCAATTCACACATTTTGTCCATAATTCAGAACAACTATAGGATATCGGTCTAGTGTGTACCAATTTGCCCACCAATTTCTCATTTACGTTATAGAGCACCCCTTTAATGATTGTAAAACTGAACCAAATACAAATTTTGTATAAGGTTCAAATTTGCACTACAAACAAATAAAGAGGTCGGATGGGCTCCCCATAGAGCACACCCCATAGGTGCTCCATAGCCCATACCCTTGTGCATTGGGAACAGCTCTCATGCTTGTCATGGGGAGATATTCAGAATTCATGGGAGGGATGGTAGTTGTGCAGGGGGAGCCCATGGGGCATGCTTTGTGGGAAGCCCATCTCATCTTACAAATAGAGCCTTGGGTATTGTAATTATTAGTTGCCTTATAGTGTAACCTGTCAAGCTTGAAATAGCAGTGATTGATAAATGACTAAATGAGTTGCTCTCACAATATTAGGATGTCAATTTCTACCCTACCAAGAAGGTACCTGCCCCAACGGGGAGGGTTTGTTTTTTGTTTGAAAAATGAATTTTGGGGTGGGGACGAGTTTTGGTGATTTTACAAGCCAGGTACAGGTAGTTAGGTGTATASTATTAAGCAAAACCCATCCTTGGTATTGTTGAAAGACATGTGAAAGTATGTATTAGATGTTGATTTTAATTATGCAAAGGATAATTGATAATTATTAAGTTATATATTTTTTTACATACTTTAATCAAATAATTTGAAATTTGGATGTTTGCTTTTGCTAGTTTAGTTTATATATAACAGGAAAATTCTGGGTCCAACCGGTCTACCCTACCTGCCCCACCCTCAAATGCAAGGAGGGTAGGGGCAGATCATGTAGGAGAGAGGGTTTGGAATTTGAAAGTCCAACTTGAGAGGTCTAGAGAGTTTTATAGGATCTAAAATTTACAAAACTCTCCCCATGCAAACCTGTCTGTCCCACTGCCATCCCTCCAAGTACAATTTCATTGTCTGGAGACTCTGGACACAAAAATGTGCCCCATCCATCCATTTATTTAGGAAGGAGACCACCCACCCTTACCTAATAATTAGCCCTTTTCCACTCAATTTACCCATGAAGTCATTCAATGGCTACGAAAATCCAGTTTGAGAAAGCAAAGTAMGTTCGACCAAAGTAGCTAGAAATAGATACATAGAAGAATTAGAGCAAGAAAGTAACAGACGGACCCATGCCGCTCAGCTGCGCTAGCTATATTTGCACATTATGCATGTTGAGCATTCATGTACATATATGCATCTGATCAATACGACGAAACACTACTTATTTGAATTTTATGATAAAACAAAARGGACATAGTAAAGAGCGCTATAGCTAATTAATTTCTGATTATCAATTCATTAGAACCAACTCGCCCTTTCTTTCACTTTGATCATCAACCCATCCTTCACCTCAAGCATGATGGCCGGTTTGTAGGAAATAGGATGATCCTCGACCACTTGAATCTGGAAGTTGAAGAGCACAGCTGAAGCAGCCAGCTTCATATTGGTGAGAGCCATGTTTTTGCCTAAGCAAGACCTCTGTCCAATGCTGAAGGCGAATAATAGCTTGGAAATCTTGTCCTTGTCCAGCGTCCCATCCGGACGGATCCATCTCTCCGGCCTGAATTCCAGGCAGTCGTCCCCCCAGAGCGACGGCATCCTCCCGACCGCATACATGGACAGTATTACCTGCATCCCTGGCTTGACGATSCTACCATCTGGGAGCACTTCTTCCTTCACGACACCCTTCACGTTCACTGGGTTCGGTGGACACAACCGCAGAGACTCACATAATGCTGCATGCAAATACACCAACTCTCGTAAATCTTCTGAGTCGAACACCCATGGCTTCTTGTATTCAACYCCGCCTTCCTTCAGCTTATCAGACACCACCAGCCTTAACTCTTGCAGGATCTTTTCTTCCACACGAGGGTTTCTGGAAACCAGCCAGATGAACCAGATAATGCCTGAGGCCGTAGTGTTTCGTCCCGCCATGAAAAAGTTGAGCACCGTGTCCCTGAGGAACTTCACCCTCGGCTCCGACCAGTCGTTCTTCTCCCCCAGAGATCTGATGAAGTTGGACAAAAGAGAGTTTTCTTCGGTGTCTATTCCTTTAAGCAATTGTTCTTTCTTGTGTAAGATGATATCCAATATGGACGCATCTGCCAACTGCCATGCTCTGGCCAACTTCTTCTCCGGCCCAAGCCTCAGCAGACGGAGCAGCTTCCACAGAAACGTCGGCGTAAAAAGCCTGAAAAGTATAGCTGCTTGTGCATCGTCAACCGCTTGGGCAACTTCGTTGATGGGAAGCTCTTCAGAGAGGCAACCTAAATCTCTTCCGGCGATGGTGATATTAATACTGTCGAAGGTGAACCTCATACAAACATCTTGGAAATCGACGGTAGTCCCTTCCCTGGCCACACGAGCTAGCATGGGGAGGAGCTTCTGTTCGACCTTTTTCTGGACGGTGCTACTGACGAAGCTCCGGAAGTCGATCGATCTGAAAACCCAGTGTGCGGTCTTCCGCTGCGCATGCCAGGAGTCGCCCTCCGCGTTGAAAATGCCATCACCAAGAATATCAAACGCCTCTGTGAAGTCCTCCCCTTTGGGGTAGTTGGAAGGATTTGTTTTCAGTATGTGCTCGAAATTCTGGGGATCGCAGGTGACGAACTGATCAAGCTTTGAAAAGATGGGGCCCTTGAGGTAGAAGCTATAGGTGCCGAGGGAGATGAAGACATGGGTGAACCAGTCGTGCAGATTGAGGATGTTGCGAAGGAGCACAGGAGAAGAGCCTAGCAATGGCCAGTTCAGTATGACGCTCTTGTTCTTTTGTTTGAGCAACCATCTGAGACTGAGAGACAACAGCAGCAAAACAATGGCTACCAGAATCTCGTACCCTAATCCAGTGATCACCATCTCTCTGCTTGTGTTGTGCAATCTGCTATTGAAAAAATCAATGAATCAGAGTTATTTATAGACTCAGTCACAGAAAAGAAAAGATAAGTGCAACTTCACGTGGCGATCCAAGGCGCAACCACCACAGTTTGCATCAAAGAGACGGCAATCAAGGAGCTCAACTGTCCCAAACCTCTGGCAAAATTGACGAGTTTCACTTTTTTTGTTGTTGTTGGGTTGAAACTATCAAGGTTTCACTTATTAGACAGACAAAAAGCGACCCTGATACACAGATTTGGGTCCGGAGTTTTTATGGGAAAATAAAACAGTCGGATGCATACGATTCAATTACATCTCGACTTTTTAACCCATAATCCAATGAGAGAGAGAGAAGCTCACATGACCACATCTGCTGCGATTGTCGCTGACGTATATATCCATGTTCGATTGGGCGGTCACAAACAGCAAATAGAATTAAGGAAGGAACTAAAAGCAACTCGGGGTATTGAACCAACCATGAAACATGACATCACCTCTGTACACATACGGACTAATTAAATCCGCAGAGTACCGCCTCATTTGCAGATATCGTTAATGGATTCTCTCTCTCTATCTATCAGGAGATATTTCCAATGTCCTCCCGTTTCGTGTAAATGTTTTACCTGTCTCATTTGCTTTTTCAACGACTGTCACGAGAAGAACACATCTCTCCTGAGTGAATGCGAGTATTGTTCCACATATATCACCAGTGAAACCATGGTTTTCAAAACCCGATCGGACCGGACGGTACCAGTCAGGTGACCGGTTCCAGGTTTCCCCAAAACCGGATTTTCCATAAAAACTGTTGATTTTGCTGCTGATTCGGGCGGTTAACCATTTGAGTTGTTGGAACGATTTTGACTGATTTTCATTTTTTTTTTTTATTTATCTTGTTAAAACGGGCCGATCGTTCAGTTCAAACAATCGAACTGTTTGACCCAATAATCGAACCCCTGACCGATTCGGTTTTAAAAACCATGAGTGAAACCATAGGAGCGTGTACCCTCTAATAGGAGGCATGCACATCACCTACAACGTTGATGGAAATGGCTTCATTACCTACGGTTCACAACATTCCTTCTCATATATCACTTTCCATGGTCACATTCACAACAAGGAAACAAGTTCCTGGTGAGGTGAGGAGCAAGTGGTGATGGGCCTGAGCACCTTTGACATATTGGCATTCTTTATTAATCTCCTTTTTTTTAGTTAAAATGTCCCTATAAATACTAAATTTTTATCAGGACTGTCAAATGCAGCCTTAATCCTCTCCAAAACAGTCTTTGTTGTTTATAAATGCTAAGCCACCCAACAACCAAGCCAACAAAAATGAAAAGGGCATATAATATTGACATATTCTAAACATTGCAACGAAGGAACCATCTTCTATATCTTTTTAATTACCAAGGAAACTAACAAAAAAATAATAAGAATTAAAGGATAAATCTCTTAAACTATGCCTACTGTTTAGATATTTTCTTAAAATAATTGTCTAAAATCTTCCTTCCCATTAATTGTGTCACACTTCGTCCACATGAGTAATAATTATTTTAAATTTTCTAAAATATCCTTATTCTTTACCTCCACTATTGAAATTTGCAGCCTTGCGGTGATTTTGGTATCGTCGTCGTCACTGGCAACGGTGACCACTGCAACTTCCGAACAGCAAAAGTTATGTCTGTCATGTTATATTGTTTTGCCCGAAACAGAAATGGGAAAAGAACAATACACCCAGGAGTAAATTAGTATTTCTCACGTTCTAAACAGAGAAAGAAAAAAACCAGTAGTGACTTCAGGTTCAAACTGAGTGGTGGATCTGATCTAACATGCGCGACGCGGGCAACAAAGGCGGTAGTTACCCACTTCAGTTTCCGTGCCTATTGCCCCGTTGGGAGGTTTGAGTTCTTTCCCGTCTCAACCACCTTTTCCGAAAAAATGAAGAAAGAAGGAGAGAGAGATGAGGGATTTGTTCATGCTTTGTAATCTGAGTACAAAATTGGTGATTGGGGGATGGAGCAGTTGGAGGAATTCCTGTTGCRAGATGAGCAGGGAGTCCACTTTTGGCCGAGAGAAACATCGTCACCACCCACGATATGTTTTTGGGTTTATTTGTTCATGGTTTAGTTTTATTTTGAAATTTTGATGAATAATGAAAGGTAAATTTGATATTTCATTTTTTGTGTCAATTATCATAAAACTTAAGGGTATTTTAAGACAATATATAAACAGTAATGGTATAGTTAGTCAATTTCGTAAACAGTAGGAGTAGTTTTAGAGATTTACCCTTTGTTTTAACTTAAGATGTTAATTCATTSATCACTGGGTAAATGAGGCCTATTTGTTATGATCATGAGTTTGAGGTATGTAACAAGGATTAAAATATTGATCCSATACGCCCTGTATCAGTCAATATGGCGTGATACACCCCAATACAGGGCCATATCGCACCCTGTGTTAATGACAAGTTTATAAATGGCTGATCCAGCTTTTGTTGGCAGGTAGTTTTGTACTTTCTGAATAGTTTTCATATGTTTTTTAGTGGAAAGTATATTCCACCATCAAGAGCTCTACTTTAAGACAAAAGAAAGAGTAAAAAATGGGAGAAAAGAGGAAGAAGAAGAAGTTTTTAATTGTAGTTCTATTTCTAATTTATAGATAGATTTACATGATTTATATGTCAAGCATTCATGTTCAAATTTTGACTATTTAAATTGATATTAATTGATATAATTTTATTAATATTATATAAGAATTTTAAATAATTAAATTTCTCTAAAATTTWAAAAAATAAACTAAATAAAAAATAAAAGATAATTTAATATTACAAGTTTATATGTTTTATTTTGCATATATGTTAAAAGTAAGGCATATTTTTATTTGAAAACATATACTTATTATTTATATAAAAATACTAAATAAATAAAATTTCCAAAAAAAACACATATCATTTATATAAATATACTAAATAAATAAAATAAAAAAATTATAATTATAATAAAAGTTAAAATTAAAATAATAAAAACTAAAATAGAGTAGTAATTATTTTAAAACATAGCTATTATTTATGTAAAAAATAAATAACTTTTTTAAATTAATAAAAATACCATAATAGCCTTTTTAGACGGAAGGCTAATGGAAGGGGGTCTTTGCCTCACGGTCATAGTTAGGGGTGGATTCGAGCCGAGCCAAGCCGAATAGTACCAAGCTCGAGCTAGGCTCGACTCAACTCATTTTATATTTTATAAATATTTTATTATAAAAATATTTAGAAAACTATTTTATAAAAATAAAAAATATATAATTTTTATTTTATATTTAAAATTTTAAGAATTATAATAATTAATAATTATAATATCTTTATTATATATATTATATATTAATATATATATTTTTGAGTCGGCTCGTGAGGAGCTCTAGTAGGCTCGAGCTCGACTCATTTAATAATCGAGCAACTGAATTGAGCTCGAGCTCGGTTGAAATCGAGCCGAGCCGAGCCTTTCATGAGCCGAGCTCGAGCAGCTCGTGAAAAGCTTAGCTCATTGCCACCTCTAGTCATAGTACAAGGGGGTCTTTGTTGCAAAACAATGTATAGGAGGTCTTTGTCACAAACCCCATATTACAGGGGGGTTTTTGTAATTTACCCAAATTTGAATGGTTTTATAATAGCATATTTAAGCTCTTATATTAACAACCATTATTGCAAAATAGATAAAAATATTTCGTGAGACACAAGGGCCTTTTAGATATTCCTCAAGTAAAAGGATTAAGAGACAATTTCGATTCAGGTAATTTAATTTTTGCAATATTTATAATATTAAATATTTGATTATAAGTTATGTATTATACTAATATATGATTGTTTTTGAAATTGAATGGTGGTTTTTATTTGAATAAAGTGCTCTAAATCTACAATCTATTGCAATGAAAGTATTGTCACAAATTGCATCATCTAGTGAGTGTGAACGTAATTGGAGTACTTTTGGTCTTATACATTCAAAGCAACGAAATCGTCTATCATATAAGAACTTGTAAAATATTAATTTATATTTACTACAACATGAAGTTAAACATAACAAATCTTATAAATGATAGAAAACATTCAAAGGGATACTTTGATCTTATAAATTTGGACGAAATATATGATGACAATGATCCACTAATAGAATGACTTCAAGTGCAAAGTAATGAAAAAGATACAATGTTGTTACATAAACCTAGTGATCCACCTAGACCTAACACATTCACTACTGAAAAATGTTGATAGTCGAATTGAGGAATAATTCACCCAAAGGGATACAAATGAAATACAACCTGTTGATGACAATGATATTGATGGCAATGATAACCATGATGGTGACAATGGCAACGATGGAAGTGGCAATGATGAGGAAGGTGGTTGTAGTGGTGGTGGTTATAGTGAAACTCAATATACACCACCAAGAGGCAATGTTGGTAATAAACAAAGGATAGTATTTACCGAAGAACATTTTTTTATCATGCCACATAAGATCAAGATCATTCTAACTGTAGGACTAGACAATCAAATCATATAATCGTGAAAGACAATCTCATTATTATAATGAAATGATGCAAAATCTTAATAGTATGAATTTGTATTCACCAACTTCAAAATATAATTCATATGGATATAGTTATGGTTCATATGCACATAGCTTTTACCGGTCATAGTTGGTTTTTAGCTTTTTGGTTTTAGTCCTTTAGACTGATATGATGATAGTGGTAGTGTATCTTCACATAAATTTGAAACACAATATGTCTATCAAGATATCAATAACTCTTAAATAAGTTCAAAGATTATCATCACAATTTCATGAATTGAGTCCAATATTGCGATAATCCATATGTGAACTATTCAATACGATACATGCATGATACTGATACTTTTATGCTTATCTCATTTAATAAAGTATATAAATGTAATTTGTTTGATCCACCAACCATTTTCATCATTTGACCGAAAG